GCGTTGTCAAAAATGTTGTCAGTAATAATATTCAAAACGACAAATGAGGATTGAGCTTTATCAAATATTTTAATCTTAATAAACGCCCTTCTTTCTTTATATCCTTTTAATTCATTTTAATAATCTATTTGATTCAGTCGCTATAGTCCATTTGTTTAGGTACTTAACTAAATGTAAACTATTTTGATACATCTTTTTATTGAAACACATGCTTTACAAATCAATAGGTATAAAAATAGGCATGCAATTTCATATGAAGCTAAGTATTTGTATTTTGTATTTGAAGGTAAGGGAAAATCATTTTATAAATGTATATTTCATTAAATAGACATCTCAAGATTGTTTACATTTATTTAAGTACCTAAACAGATGAACTATAGTGCAGTTTCATATCATATCAGTTTCGTATCATTTTTCGAATTTAAATTTCAGCAGTGTCATCGGAATCGATAATCAAATATTTATTTATTTTTTTAGTTTGTCCGTATTTTTTTTTATATTTTGTTCCCAAGTTATTTTTATTACAAGGCTACACATTCTTTTGTCAACATCCTTTTATATTTTTGTGACTGCCAATGCAAACCTGGCCAAACATTTAATTTAATTGCACCGGCCATAAACAGGACGTTTATCTTCAAAATTTCAACACTGGTCCATTTGTTGCCGAAACGTTGTCCAGTCCGTCATCATTATTAATTATGTTGAATTATTAATTATATTAATTAAATATATAACGCGCACACTCAACATAGCCCCGCACTAGGGAAACCTTGTGTCGCAGGTGCCATGGACACACACATAAACGACATAATTATTTGAATAATCAAATTATTTTGTTCACAGTTCGTCATTTTCTCCTGCCTCCTGGCCATCGCCCGCGCCGGTTTGGCTCCCCACGCCGCACCAGTAGCGGCAAGATTAGAAGAGTTTGACGCTGTTCCCCAATACCGATTCGGTTACGACGTCGCTGATACTCTAACTGGTGACTACAAAAGCCAAACTGAGCAGCGTGACGGTGATACCGTTCAAGGGCAGTATTCCCTCGTAGACCCTGATGGCACCCGACGTGTTGTCGATTACACTGCTGATTCCGTGAATGGTTTCAACGTTGTTGTTCGCAAGGAGCCTCTCGTGGTTGCTGCCCCAGCTGTTGTGCCGGCGCGATACATTGCAGCTCCAGTAGCTCCAGTGATGGCTAGATACACCGCCTCGGTGGCAAGATACGCTGCCTACACTGCACCAGTTGCTGCTGTTGTCGCGGTCTAAACATTTCCAACTCCTTATTAGGACTGATTATGGTTAATTAAATAAATAATAACGTTTTTCTATTCTCAATACTTGCTTTTTCCCTTCACTCGCGCAAATTTGTAGTGTTAAACTACAATAGCAGTGTACTTCAATAGGACTAATGTAATCGGATTATGTTTCAATGTGTGAACGGCGCCCATAAATAACGATACTGGTTTGCAACGTCACAGTTGCAATTACATTCAATACGTTTAAACACATTCAGCCAATATGGGAATTAATTAAATGTAAATACAGTTACACACCACGAACAAAAACACAAATTACACAGTGAAACGGTAGTCATTATTTTGACTACACAAATACAAAATTTAAAACGCGTAGAATTGCAAAAAAGAAGTTTATAAAAAGAAATTGAGTTTTTAATCTATCTTTACGTGCCTTCGAAATTCGCACTCTATGTGTAATAAGGTCATATCTGCAAAATGACAACTTTTCTGAAGAGATGTTTAACGATTGTAGAACCCTCTCTCCTGAAGAGCTGTATAATAGTTTTTTGGTTTCCGACTAAATGAGGATAAAGGTCACTGTATTAGAAAGTAACGTCGCGTTTTACACAGGGTAAAAAATCTTAGGTCGAATCTATTAAAAAGCCTTATAGTATTCTTAACTTCGTTATAATTCGTTTCTAGTTGTAAATTGACAAAAAAATATTATTCATGCGAGGCGACCCTCAGGATATACAACTTTTTCGGAGAGAGAATTTAGTCAATGACTTTTTTATGCTCAAACAGGAATTATAAAATTTTACATAAACGTATCATAATAATAATAATAACTAATAAAAAAACCAGCTAACAAGCTGAGAAGAATAAAGTAAATAAAAATAATAGTAGAAGTGGCTTTGCCGGGAAATACCGCCTCTCCTATTTAAAAATTCAAAATGAATATTTTAGGCATTGGGAGACGCGAGACTCTAAAATGGATACAATAATAATAGGTTTTTTTCAAGGCAACTTAGGTCCACTAGTCAGTATTACAGATACTTTAAGTACTATGTTAGTTTACAGTTTAATATTTATAAATGTAATAAAATAAAATATATTGAAATAACAATAAAATTGAAAATTGCAATAAAATAAAATAAAAAAGAATTGAAACTTGAAATATTTAGGAAATGAAACTGAAAATGAAAATGAAATTTCTAAGTTTCAAATTAAAATCATTTATGTACATGGTGAAATTACAGGCCCATGGGAATTGTCAACTTGTGTCTCGTGGTGTCGGGTGCAGTAGCAGTGCCCCTCAGATCTTTGTTATTAAAGCTCTGCATGGCACTGCAATTGTTAGGGACAGGCGTGTCGCTTACCACCAGGCTCACGACTTGTTTGTCCCGTCTATTAATATTATATTTTTAAAAATGCCGCTACAGACATACGTACCAGAATTGTTGCAAATGCAGGTTTCTTACATATCAGCGGATGAATTAAGACGCTAATGTTTGACGAATGTTGATGCAGATATGGATTTTGATTTTAGGTATTTAAAAAAACGAACAATGTAAAAAAATAAATAAATAGGCTTTATTTGACACGCATAAATTTCAAACAAAACAACAATAAAAATGAATTCGCATAAAATAAAAAAAGAAGCATACAAAATAATATAATAAAACATAAAAAATAAAATAAAATAAAAACTTGTCAAAAGGGTCCATAACTCAGCCTCTGAGGTACATTCTTACTAAACCTATCTAGCTGAAAAAAACTTTGCATTTTCTTTGGTATCGTAATAAAATATTATTTCAATAATTTTGTGACATTTCGAGTTCTTAGGTTTTCGCGATTGTTACACATAGGAAATGAAACTATTTTTCCGGATTTAAATCGTGTATATTTGTTTTTTCAAACAAACTGACGTTTCGGGCCCTTTACAGGTCTCATGGTCACGGTTGACTGAGATGGTACAGTCTTCAACCAGTTATGACTAATATTGATGCAAACCACCCTATTTTTTCACTATAGTTACAATAGTTATTAATTAAATACTTTATTTTTAGGAAATGAAACTATTTTTCCGGATTTAAATCGCGTATATTTGTTTTTTCAAACAAACCGACGTTTCGGGCCCTTTACAGGTCCCATGGTCACGGTTGACTTTATTTTTAATTTTACAATTAAACTTTTTCAATTTACGCTACATTAAGTTTTACAAATTATTTTATTGAATTAATTTTTGTTAAGTTCAATTTATTATTAATTAATAATATAAATTAGAATAAACTTAAACTATTAATTAGTACTGCAGTCTTATGCCTGTTTGGGATTTTTCGTTAGAGGAAAAACTGGATCCCAAAGTGGTGGTAGGGAAAAACCATCTTCCCTGTTGAAATTACGATGTTTTTTAATTTCAATGGCTTCTCGCAACATCCTGGGTAGATAACGGACTTCTTTTGCAAGGACCTGGGGTTTGTCAAACTTCATTGAATGTGTAGGTTTATCCATGACATGCTCGCAGACCGCAGACTTATTTACGCGACGGTGTTTGACATCAGCTGTATGTTCTTTGACGCGAGTACAAATACTTCGCTTCGTTTGTCCAATATAAGAGAGACCGCACTCACAATCTAGCTTGTAAACTCCTGCATCCTGTAAGGGGATGTTACATTTCACGGGTCTCAGGAACTGAGAAATCTTCCTCAGGGTCTTGATAGATGCACGCCTGAGGACTCTTCCGATCTTGCCTGTAACACCTCTCACATAAGGTAAGATGGCAGGTCTTCGCTCGACTGTTGGTGGTTTCACACGGGGCCTGCGGCATTGGCGTGGAATTTTCAAGTTATACGCATGTAGGACTTGCTTTATATGCTGAAGTTCCCCTGCCAGATGATTACTGTCGCAGACACCATGTGCTCTTTGAAACAAAGATTTGCCCACGGTAGCTAACTGGCTAGGATGGTGATGGGAATTACCATTGAGATACCTATTTGTATGGGTTTTCTTTCGAAATACAGTATGGCCTAAGGTGTTATTAGGAGTTCTTTTAATTAAAACATTTAAGAAAGCTAAAGTACCACAATTCTCTTGTTCAATAGTAAATTGGATCTTAGTACTAAAAGAATTGAGATGGTCCAAGAAAGAAGGTATGCTATTTTTAGGTAATATTGTGAAAGTATCATCAACGTACTGTTTGAAAATCTTCGGTCTAGCTGGGGCCATGGGTAAAACTCGCTCCTCGGAGTCTTCCATGAAAATATCGGCAACAACGGGGGATACCGGGGAGCCCATCGCTATACCGTCAATTTGTAGTTAGAATTCATTATTCCACAATAGATAGCCTGATGTTAGGCAGTGTTCTAATAATTCTGCATATTCAATGGACATATTATGTTCCCTCAGCTTTCTACGTACAATTTCAATGCAGTCTTTTACTGGTAGGTTGGTAAACAGCGACTGAACATCAAAACTGACCATGGTGTCATAATCAGTTAACCGTAGATCTTTGATTCTACTGATGAAATGGTACGAATCCTTCACATGTGTAGAAGTGTTCCTTCTCAATGGTGACAGTACCTTTGCCATGTGGTGAGCCAGTGTGTAGGTTGGTGTGTCAATCTGGCTAACTATGGGACGGAGTGGGGTGTCAGCCTTATGTATTTTTGGTAACCCATACAATTGAAATATTAAAATATAATCTCAGTACAGAGTACTAAAAAAACCGACCTCAAAAGTACGTGGAATTACGTCTATTTGCTAAGTTTTATTGAAATATCCTTAAATTCGCCACTTTACAGGACTTGACACTGGAGATAATGAAAATCGGTTCTCACTACTCAAATTATATGGAGAGAAAAACGCCTTGAATTGGAGAAATAGCAAAATCAACCATTGAAATAATTGCTCCTTAGTAAAAATTAGGCGCTATTTATAAAAATAAATCTTCATGCATGAACGGTCACCCTTACAGGTGGATGAGTTTCATCAAAATGAAATGGGACCACTATGCAAATACCCCCTTTCCAACAAAAAAAAGAATCAGGAAAATCGGTTCACAAATAACGGAGTTATCGCGTAACATACATACAAAAAAAACAAAAAACATATCATCGAACTGACAACTCCTCCTTTTTTGAAGTCGGTTAAAAAGTAACTTATACATTTTAAATTAAAATAAGATGAAATAAACTAAAATGTATATTTAAATTGAAATAAAACAACAAATAAAATAGAAATTGCAACCGCCGTTTAAGCTACATTGTATTTTAATTTTATGTTTTGTGTGATTGGGATGCCAAACTAACAACGCTGACAAATGTTCAACAATAAGCACCGCTATATGTGCGCAATATGTGCGGTATTAATCTTAAAGATAGAATGCCGAACAGTATAGTAAAAGAGGGTTGTAGTATTAAAGTTGACGTAGTGACAAGGATAGAGAGAAGGATGCTTTGATGGTTTGGTCATGTAGAAAGAATGATTATTGGTACAACGACGGCACAAATTTATAGAGCGAATGTGGATGGAAGCGTGGGGAGAGGTAGACCTCGGCGAACATATCTCAATTTGTATGATTTGTATTGTATGAAGAGATTGATGTGGACTTCAAGGGTGCTGGTGAAATTACAGGCACATGGGACTTGTCGACTTATGCCTCAGGGTGACGGGCGCAGTAGCAGTGCATCTCAGATCTTTGTGATTTAAAGCTCTGAGTGGCACTGCAACTGTTATGAACAGACGTGTCGCTTATTACACACGATTTGCTCGTCCCCTCACTAGGTATCATAAAAAAACACTTATGTACTATCACTAACTGAAACATAGCCGTTGTATTTGTTATATCGTGCATATTAATTATAGTTTTGGTATTTTACACTCCCAAAGAGAATTCCGCGTTTAAAATTTAATTACAATAACACAATAATACAATAGAAAGATAGGGGAGAGTGAAAGAAAAATACATGTTGTGCCGATTCCACCTAGCGTGGTATAAGGATAGGAAAAAGAAGAAGAAGAAAAAGAATACAATAGAAAGATATTAATCCCTAGATTTATCCAATCGAACAGGGTAGGTGATATGGGGCACCTTTTTACCTTATCCCGCAGATGCTCATCTATTCCACGCTGATCTCAATGAACTGCTCTTATTCAGAGAGTTTGGTTAAATAAGGCTCTATTATACACATAGACAACCACAAATTACATCCAAACTCACGAGAGAAATAAACGTAGGCCATACAAATATTTCTCCCGGCCCGGGAATCGAACCTGGGACCTCTGCCTAGCAGTCCGGCATGGTAACCGTTCGGCCACGGAGGCAGTTTCAAATATTCACTATTATAAGTTACAAATTCTGTATAGGGGCAACTTCGTACCGAATTTGGTTTTTCGAACATGTGGGCAAAGTGGGTGATAATAATAATAATTATTATTATAACGCACATACTCATAGTCCCGTACTAGGGAAGCCACATAGACAACCACAAATTACACGCAAACTCACGAGAGAAATAAATGTAACACATTCAAATATTTCTCCCGGCCCAGGACTTCTAGTAAGCAGTCCAGAATGGTAACGGTTCAGCCGCGGAGGCAGTTATATTATAAATATGGTAAGGTATTTATTATTATACCCAGAAACTTTCTTACAAATCTTCAGGCAACAAATCAAAATTTCCAGCAACATCGCAACGGCTGTCGTTATAAGGACACACCACCAAACACTCTATATTTCAACTGCGTGCATCTATACTGACATGCATGCACAATAATGAACTTGGCCCAACGTCTGTCGCTCCGAAGTTACCTATAAATACCTCGCTGAACTCAAAGTAGACGTAGTCTCATTTGACATCGCTCAACGCCAACAAGTTCAAAAATGGCCATTAAAGTAATATTTCAAGCATTTTGTGACATTGAATTCGCTTTTCAATCTTATCCATCAATTTCACTCGCTGCTCATTTGTCAATTTTATTTTATCGTCGTATTACTATTTTTATGCCCTTTCAGGGCGTAAAATTTAAGCGTTGTCAAAAATGTTGTCAGTAATAAAATTCAAAACGACTGTTTAGGCAAGAAGTGGCTGGATGAATTTCTCAATTAAAATATCCTGAATTGTAGTTGCAGACGTTTATTCTCGATATACATTTAGGAAGTACAAACTGACACGTGTTCGTCGCTGGTTTAACAGAAGAGAAGTTTTTTATAAATACCACCACTATTGTCAATAAAAATTATGGAGAAACTATAGGAGCAATCACAAGTGAAAATGTGATTGCTGTAACAATCACTGTAGGCGCTTTAAGGCCTAAACATCCTGCCCTCCGTTGAAGGATCCAAATCCTTCAACTCTGTAGCTGGTCAGACGAAGGCAGACGGCACAATCGAACTAAAGGACGACGCATATAGCCCTTTGTAGTGTAGACTTCAGCAACTCTGGAGACACCGTCCGGTCCAGGGAATAATTGTGTGACTCTTCCCATGCGCCAATTGAGTGGCGGATTGTTCTCCTCCTGAATCAGTACTAAATCTCCAACGTTGAGTGTTACTTTAGATGTTTTCCATTTAGTCCTCTGCTGCAATTCGCTAATGTATTCTCGTTGCCATCGTCTCCAAAAATGCTGGCGTATTTGCTCTAGACGGGCGTAGCGATTTAGTGAAGTCTCCTTGAGGTCTTCTAGTGAAGAGGCAGGCAGAGCGCTCAAAGGTCTTCCTATTAAAAAGTGCCCAGGGGACAAGGAAAGGAGATCATCTGGTGAGGAGGACATAGGACAAAGGGGTCGGCTATTTAATATTGCCTCCACTTGTGCCATTAATGTACTAAACTCTTCGAACGTAAGATGAGTATTACCCATTACGCGTTTAATGTGATATTTTGCGGATTTAACCCCGGCCTCCCATATTCCACCAAAATGCGGAGCGTAAACCGGTATAAACTTAAAGTTAATTCCCTCTTGAGCGGCGAACTCAGATAGAGATTTATTTTGTTGATTTAAAAAATTTGATAACTCTTTTGCAGCTGCCACAAAATTTCGGCCATTATCAGAAAACACTTCCGCTGGCTTGCCGCGACGCGCAACAAATCTACGAAACGTCATTATATATGATTCCTTGGAAAGGTCTGAAACTGCCTCCAAATGCACGCATTTAAAGCGTAAACAAATAAAAACACATAAATAGCATTTTACTAACTTTGCACCTCGACCTTTACGGTTCATTATATAAAAAGGACCAGCATAGTCGACTCCAACTGATTTAAATGGAAAGTCTACTGATATACGATTTGTTGGTAAATCTCCCATTTTAGGTAAGAGTGTTTCACCGCGTACACGAGCGCAAGTTTCACAATGCTTCACGACACTCCTGGCAAGTTTTCTGCCATTAATAGGCCAAACAGTTTCTCTGAGCGTAGCTAGCAACAATTGAGGACCAGCATGGAAATTTCTAATATGTTCGCGCACAAACAATAATCTTGTCAAATAGTGAGAAGAACCAAGCAATATAGGGTGCTTCTTTTCAAATGAATAATTAGATGAATTGATTCGTCCACCAACTCTAATTAGAGAATTTTCATCCATAAATGGTGACAAAGATAAAATATTAGATTTACTATTCAACGGTTTTTTTACTCTTTAACTTATCATATTCTGTTTTAAAACTTTCAAGTTGTATGAGTTTACAAATTAATTGAAATGCATTGTCATATTCTTTGGGCTTCAAAAATGATTGAAATTTGTTGTGTTTATTTTTGGGATTTGAGTTGTGCAAAAAGCGTAAAAGAAAAGCTAACACTCTTTGTGCTGCTGTAAAGGTTGAAAATCGTTTAAAATCAATTAGTGCGTCTTCTACTGTAAAAACAAGTAGTGCTTTGGTTTCAGGTAAATTTTCGATGTTTGTATTATTAGTCAACTGTGGCCAATTTGACTCATTTTGAGATAAGTAAGTTGGACCAAACCACCACAAGTCCATATTAAAAAGTTGACTACCGTTAACACCGCGAGAGATTAAATCAGCGGGATTGCACTTAGTTGGAACATAGCGCCAAGATCTGGGATTAGTCAATTCTAGAATTTCACTTACCCTGTTAGCAACAAATTGTTTTAATTTGTTGGGATTACTGCTAATCCATGCCAACACCACACTTGAGTCGCACCAATGAAAAATACGAGTAGGAGTGATTCTAAAAGACTTAAGGACACTCACACACAGCCGAGCGGCCAGAAGTGCGGCGCACAGCTCTAAGCGGGGTATTGTGCATGGCTTTAAAGGTGCAACCTTTGACTTGGAGCACAGTAATTTTACAGTAATATTGTTGTCACTACTAATTGATCGTAAGTAAATAGAAGCACCGTAAGCGACTTGAGATGCATCACTAAATGTGTGTAATTCTATTAATGTTGGAGAATCACACAGAACCCTGCGCGATATTTGCAGGTTTGCAAGTAAATGTAAGTTACTGGATATTTCGCACCATTTCTCTTTGATATCGGAAGAGACTGGTTCGTCCCATCCAATACCCTGTAGCCATAATTTTTGTAAAAGCATTTTAGCTTGAATGATACAAGGGCTTAGTAGACCCAGGGGATCGTAAATTCGAAATGAATGAGAAAGTATGACTCTTTTAGTGATAACATCAAACTCACGTGGGATTTTAATAGGGAAGTTAAAGGTATCCTGAGAAGGATCCCAGCCCAGACCAAGAGTGCTTGTAGATTCACTCAATATTAATTTATCTTTTGAGCTCCTATCCGAAGATTCAAAAAGTGATTTGGAATTGGTTTTGAATTTACGTAATGGAAAACAGGCTGAATTAAGTGCATTAGTAACGGAATTTAAAATATATTGCAAATTAATTTCATCATCACAACCGGTAATCAGATCGTCAACCAGAAAATCCTGCTGTATTATAGTTTTGATTGATTCATCATCGCATTCTTCTCCTACTTGCCAAAGACATCTGGTACTCAAGTAACTAGCACTTGCGGTTCCGTAAGTGATAGTATTGAGACGCAGCGTTTCGATGGGATGATGCTCATCTTCTCTCCATAAGATCAATTGCAAATTTGCGTCTTCTTTGTGAAGATTAACTTGACGGTACATTTTAGCGATGTCGCCGGTCAAGAGAAATTTGTGTTGTCTTGCTCGGATCAGTATGGAGAAGAGAGACTGTTGTATGTTGGGGCCTACCAACAAAATATCATTGAGGGAGTATCCAGAAGTAGTGAGACCGGAGCCGTCGTACACTACTCGAACCTTTGTAGACTCACTCTCCTCTTTAAAAACGGCGTGGTGACATAAAAAATACGATGGTACAGGAATTCGAACAGGTGATTTGGACAAATGACCCATATCGTGATATTCACGAATGAAGTCGACGTATTGTTTTTTTAATTCAGAGTTTTTTCTAAATCTCTTTTCTAGATTTAGAAGTCTTTTTTTAGCACGAAAATAAGAGTCTCCGAGGCAGTCTGGACTATCCTTTAGAGGTAGCCTCACGCAAAACCTGCCATCAGGAGAACGACTTGTAGTCATTTTGAAATGTTTTTCACAAGCAATGTCGTTCGAGCTGAGAACTGTCTTTAGCGGAAGTTCTTCGAGCTCCCAGAATTTAGTCATAATGTCATCAACTTTGGATGTTGAATTAGTTGTTAAAGTATGATTACAATGGATTTCATTGGTAGGGACTGAATTTGTAGGGCCTGCTACAATCCAGCCGAATTTGGAACTTCGTAACTTTAGATTATTAGATGGTCCCAGGGACCTTTGTTCACAACCAAGTATGTCCCAAAATATATCTGCGCCTATTAAAATATCAATTGGTGCAGGTTGATCAAAATGTGGATCAGCCAGTATTATGGATTTTGGAATTTCCAAATGTTTTATATTAACAGGTGTTTTTGGTAACATTCCTGTCAATTCTTCAAGGACATAAAAAGATAACTTATTTTGGTAAGTACTGTTTGTAGATTTGATTTTAGCGATACAACTTTCTACTACCTTATTGGAACAGTTATTTCCTATTCCAATAACGTTGACTGAATTTAGAGATTTTGTCTTTAGGGACAATTTTTGAAGTAACGATTTTGTTATAAAAGAGGATTGACTGCCACAGTCAAGAAGAGCACGCACCCTTTCAACTTTATTATTGTCAGGATTGTGTATTTCGATTATAGCCGTGGAAAGAAGCACTTGATTTGATTTTGCGTTAGAAAAGGTGACTGTGGAATTATAATCAATCTTGTTTTCATTTGAAACAGTGGTAGTACATCCTGCAACAACATCAGTGTCATGCAACAAAGTGTTGTGTTTTTGATTGCACTGAGTACAAGGACCCATACGACATTCATTTTGAGGATGGCCCTGTCGCAAACAATTTTGACATAATTTATATTTCGACACAAGTTCATATTTTTCTTTGATACTTTTTGATTTGAACTGTGGACAATCATAAATTCTATGATTGCTATTGCAAATAATGCATAAAAATGTAGAATTTTTTTTATTTGATTTTAATGAAGTATAAACATTTGTATTTTTATTGGTTTCTATCTTGTTAAATTGATGGTAATTATTATTATGAAGTGGGCGTGAATAATTTTGTTGCTTCGTGTTGGAATGTGAAGTGACTTTGATATTGTTGTTTGGATTATGTTTGTTAAATTTGTTACGATTCAAAGACTCAAGAACGTCTGCACGATCAACTAAGAATTTTTTAAATTGTTCTAATGTAGGTATTTCATCTAACGTATTACGAAATTCTTCCCACTTTGTGTTTGTGTCTGTGTCTAATTTTGATGACAACATAAAAATTATAAGCACATCCCAATGTTGAGTAGGGAGGCCAAGACTTGTGAGCGCACGAAGATTTTTAGTCACGTGATCTACAAGGAAACGTAATGATTTTTCTGATTCCCGAGATATGGTTTGAATTTTAAATAAGGAATCTAAGTGGTGATTAATGAGAAGTCTTTTATTATTGTAACGCTCACAGAGAAGCTGCCAGGCTTCTTGGTAAGTAGCAGATGAAACTTCTAAATTGGAGATAATACGCGCGGCTTCACCTTCAAGGTACGAAATTAAATAATGAAATTTGTGTATATCGGACATATTTTCCTTTTTGTGAATTAAAGTAGTAAACGTATCACGGAATTCCAGCCAGCGAAAGTATGATCCGTCAAATTTTGATATCTGTATCTGTGGCAATTTAATACCTACATCAAAATCAGAACAGTCATGAAAGGTTTTATTTTGTGAGCACTCATTCTGTTTAATGATTAATTTGGCCTCAGCAATGCATTGAATTAATGTATCTTCAACAAGTTCCCTTTCATCAAATTCTGATGACAAATTATCAGAGTTTAATACTTCTATCTCAGTCTGCAAATCGTCAAACCTGGTTGATAAGCCTTCGATTTTATTTAATCGTAGATTTAATTCGGCATACTCTGTATCAGTTCTTTCTTCAATATTTTCTCCAAATTTGTCCAAATAATTTTTAAATTTTGTAATCTGTCCCTTAATGGAACTGCGTTTAGTATAGAGTGACTTTAATGTGTTAAGGTTAAAAGACTTCGACACACCTGCACGAAATTCTGGTTCAGGTGTAGTCATTTTGTACTAAAAATAGATAACTGCCTTTTTTTCAACCCGAGTAAATAAAAAATAAATTGTGTATAAGAATGAATAGTCTAATTTTAGTAAGTAACAAAATTAATTGAAAATAATCAACAAGGTTTGACGGCTCAAAATAGAATAAAATCTTTTCAAATACTAACTTTAAAAAAAGAAAGTACTAAACGAAATAAAAATAAAAAGAATTGGCTTATCTCACGTTCCTTATTTGGTGGAATAGGCAAGCTGCTGGGATTCTTACGCGGGAACGGTACCCGAACCGCTTGCCACGACAGCAAGGTCACCTTCACTGACCCGAGCGATAAGTCTGGAAATTTTAGGCAAATTCGATCAGAATAGTAAATAAAATGTTTCACGTTAAATATTGATGTGCTGAATGTAATTATAATTGCAAGTTATGCACAATAAACCATTAATTTGCTGCCAATGAGCACAAATTACAAAGTACAAGTTTTGCTTGGACAAAAACGTTTAATTTTTAAAAAAATATTTAAATTATCGTATTGGCAATGCAATAATCGTTATAATTTAAAGAAATATTAACTAGTTAATGGGAAATCTCATCAAAATAACTCAAACAACGGACACAAAAAATGAAAGTACAAATTGTAACAGTATTACGTCACAAACCCAATAAATGTTTTACTTACAATGATTGTACAATTCTTTATGCTATTCGGCACCTAGTCATGACACAAATAAACACAATTATGTATTATTTGGAATAAATTTGAGTGAGAAATATTTCATGTGATTTTTTGACAAAGGAGTAAGGGATGGCACTTAACTTAGTGAAAATAGATGTTTACGCTGCTGCTCAGTACGATTCTTTTGATGATTCGTTGACCTCACAGACAAACGCCGATATCTTGATGATATTCAATATATTTCCTTGCTTCGTAATTTCCTTGAATGGCTGCCGACGATGGCCATGGCAAATCAAGCCTTTATGCAAATTACAGTGTCCTGTCACGGTCGCCAAAAATTTTCTTGTTTAGGCAAGAAGTGGCTGGATGAATTTCTCAATTAAAATATCCT